TTCAAGACACCCAAATAGACGACACTACTCAAGGCACCCAAGCCTTATCTAGCATAAGGACAACTAATGGCTCAAAGGACAGTGTGACATGTAATAGATAAGGACGATGTCTTGGATTTCATTCAAACTTCCAACACTATTGGCTTTCCTTTATTGTTTATATATAGTCTTTATACCCTACCAAGTTTCTATATATCTTCCAAAATATCCAATTAAGCTTCAAAATATCTCCCATAATTTCACACACTTGGGAGTTGTTGAAGAGTTCTTTCTTTGCTCTACACTTTTGACTTTTTATTGGTGCAGAAGATATTTAGTCTTATCTTCGGTGGTGGACCTATGGAGTAAGAGATGAGCAAGTTGAGTTTTTTATTTTATTTTATTGCTCGTAAATTATAATGTGCATATAGTCTAAGTTTTTTCGTAACTCGAAGCTACGACTAAGGTCACTTAAAGCTACTAAGGAATGAGCAAGATGGCTAGCAATGTCATCGACTTACAATCACATAATATTTGCCCCACATAGAGAGGCCTCTAAACCATGTGTTTATGACGTCAACACTGGTCCAGGTGACTGCGAAATTATTTAAAGAAGCTTTCACGAACATGTATAGGGAGCCAAAGGAAAATTTGACTGGATTGTAGTGAAAAATATCAACGAAAATATCCTCTTTTGTCAAGTTGGAGATCTTTTACGTACCCAGAGAACTTAAGTTTTTTTTATAACGAAGATTTTATTCATAAGCCAAAATGGCATACAAAGACTGGCATGAATATGAATATGGTATCTCTATTAATCCGGACCAGAACTTAAGTTTTGTATAAAAAAGGACTTACAGTTAATTTTGGAAATTGAAGTTTGCTTAAGATTTGAATTAAGGGCAATTCTTTAAATCCACAAAAACACGTGGTGGAGGGGTAAGTTAACATTTTGGAGCTGAGCAGGTCCAACTTCCTTCGATTCTCACCTGAAAAATCACCAAATTGTGGATCCCCAATTTTACAAATACAATTCTCCAAACAGCCTTTCGGAGAAATACAATGTTGGAATCAGACAAAAGAAAAACTAAGATGCCATTGAATATTATTGTTGAATAGTAATAAGCCAAGTCGGCCACAATCTAAAGAAGAGAGATCCGTGTGCCCACGAGGAAGCTTTTCATTCACTCAAAACTCAAATACCCCACTTATACTCTCTCTCTCTCTCTCTCTCTCTCTTCCCAAGGAATATTCCTAAAACTAAATCCTGTGTGCGAGCCTATAACCAGCGGCTGTCTGTGACACTGATTTTTCATCCAATCCAAACCACATGAAGGGCAAGGCCCTCGTTCTCTTTCTCCCTCTTCTATATAACCCACCAAGCATAATAGCCAGCTCTCCTCATCATCCTTGATCAAACTCAAGAGTCAAGACCAAGCCAGAATTTCAAGTTTTCAAGTAGTTCAAGTATGTCTGCAGTGGTGGAGGTTTGGATGAGTGAGTTGGCAAAGCTGAAAGACAAGGTAGGGGCTAAGAAGCGAATGGTGTTTTCATCAAAGGGCAAACAAGGAGAAGGTGATGATGAGGTTGAAGAACAACAACAAGTGCTGAAAGAAGCAAGAAAAGAGAGCAGCAGAATGGCTCAGATTCAGAGGGACTTGGATTCCTCTACGCTTTCAGAGTCCACAGTCTGTTTGCTTATGGACCGTTTTGTGCCTTGGTGACACCTTGTAAACATGTTTAAATATTAGTCTAATCTTGCATATATATAAATGTACTATGAATTTGATGTGTATTTGTTTTTTGTTTTTCTATTTTAATCATATTTTTGCAAGCTATTAGCGGATGAACATTTGGATTTAAAGAAATTATTTATAAACCAAAAGTTTAATTATTGCAACCAAGCTTTCCCTTAACAGGATAAACCATTAAACCATAAACTATTTTTAACAAACGAACAATCAAAAATAAAATACATCAAAGTTGTTTTTGTGACAAAATGACCGTAGCTAGCTTTGCTGTGGTTTTGGAAGTTGTTGTGGTGAGACAAGAAAGTAAACACACACGACCAATGTTGAACTGAAAACTATTTTTAGTGCAGAATTGTTTCTAGACACAAAGGGTTTGCATTCAAATTTTTATGCAACTGCAAGGAGTTTAACGACGCATGTACTAGTTAATACTGGTCTAATTGCCGACTGAATTTGAAGTTTGAAATGTAAAATGAAAAAAAGTTACAATTGTAAGTAAGTGGTGGCTGTATCTTAGGAGATAAGTGTGACCATGAGCAATGTAGTGGGACGTAAACTGTCTTAAGGAAAAAGTGCCGAGCACTTTCCTTGACCAAAAAAGTGCCGAGCATTTTCCTCGACCAATTTTGCTTGAATAGTAACAGCCCCTCTTTGTCATGACAATTGGGTGAGAGTGCTGTTACTAGTGTGTTATTATTATTATTATTATTATTATTTTTCCGGAACTAGTGTGTTATTATTACTACGTTTACTTTTGATTAAACTGTCCCTCGGGTCTAGAGAGACCCCCAGAGGTAGGAGCTCTTGGGGCCCAGAAAGACCAAGATTTTTCACTCACATGATTCTTCTCCCCACTGACATTGCCAACCAGAAACTCTTGGACAATAAATCACTTTGATTTCCAACCCTTTCAGCCTGTGAAATTTTCAACAATATGGATCTAGATACCACTCGATTATTAGGAGCTCCTTCCCCTTCTTCTTCTTCTTCTTCTTCTTTCACCAATTCATGGACACACGATGTGTTTCTCAGCTTTAGAGGTGAGGACACACGCTACAATTTCACAGACCATCTGCACAAAAATTTGGTCCAGACGGGCATCAGAACCTTCATAGATGATGAGCTCCCAAGAGGAGAAGAAATATCACAAGCACTTCTTGATGCAATTGAAGGATCAAGGTGTTCCATCGTCGTATTCTCTGAAAACTATGCATCCTCGAAGTGGTGCTTAGATGAACTTGTTCATATCATTCAGTGTAGAAAATCAAAGCAACAGATGGTTTGGCCAGTTTTCTACAAAGTGGATCCCTCAGATGTAAGGAACCAAAGAGGTAGTTATGGTGAGGCACTTAATAACCATGAACGCAAATTCAAAGAAGAGAAACTTACTAACCATGATGAAAGTAAATTCGAGGACAATATGAAGAAGGTGCTGAGATGGAAGGAAACCCTTACAGAAGCTGCAAATTTGTCTGGGTCCCATTACTTGGAGGGGTATTTTTATATATATATATATATATATATTTTTTTTTTCCTTTTCTGAATGCGGTATATTTCTATCTTTAATATACATTTAGGATCCGGAGGCTCTGCTTTAATTTCAATTTATTTCTCCCAGGGTTGCAGAATCTGTTATTGTAACTGTTAAAATGTGATGGACATTTGGTAGAATTCTCTAGAGTAATAATTTATGTTGGAATTTAGAGGTGTGTGATGTGTTGCTCTGATACCACTGTTAGAATTGTAGGGGAAACAAAGTGATTTTATTATATTTGGAGGAGTACATAGGTGAGTGTAGGCGAATTGGCCTCCTTAGTATATTGGCTTATTGGCCACCACACTTGATTTAGAATAGTTTGGGCTATTTGGCCCTTACACTTTGATTGATGAGCTTATTGGCTCTCAACATATAGCTTCCTTTGGATAGCTCTTGGCTCCCTAATGGTTTGGGAGTTCTCTTGTTACATTCCCGCATAGATTGGGAGTTGATTGGTTCACTCCTTACCTATTCACTTTGATTGGGAAGGCTACATTGCCTTTTATAGATGAGAGTAGCCGACTTAGCCTTTGTCCACCGACTTGGACATTTTCTCCCAACCACATGTTTGTATGCTCTAGAGATTTCTTCCACCGACTTGATTTCTTTACTCCACAAGTGTGTGGCTTTCTAGAATAATCTTCATAGTTGCATGTAGTTGCTGACTTCCCACCAAGCCTCTAGAATAGTTTAGGCTCTTCCACCAAGTTAAGTGTTAAGTCATATTAATGATTCTTCTAGAACCTTTTGGATCTTTTTGTCACAAATGGGCATTAGTATTTTCAACAATTTAGAATCCCAAAGTGCTACAATAGCTATCTAGAGGAGGGTAGCTACTGGACTAAATGACCAAGTCGGTGAACTATGCCGGCTAAACAAATAGCCACAAACATATAAGGAGTTTTGTAGAATGCTCTAGTCTAGAGCAAGCCGCAGCTTATGTGGCTGATAATATTTGATAAAGCCAAGTCGTAGACATGGCAGTTAGTCAAGTCGGCAGTCTTGCCGGAAAACTAAGAAATCTACTAGAAAGCCAAACACTAGTCTTATATCTAAGCCTCACACAACCTAATAGAAACAGAGGAGATTACAAGCCAGTGGAATCCTGCAGTCCTACAAACCCACTAAGTAGCAAATAGTTACATCACTGAAAGGCCAATTAGCCAACCAATAGCCTATGGTTCTACACCAAGCAGTGTACTTCTCTCCTTTCTAATAAAATCACTCTGTTACAAAAACCAATCTCTTCTATTGTTATCGTAGTGTCCATTCCATCACATGCTTTCCCTAACATCATAGCTTGGTCACGTATTTTTCTAATTTTTTTATTTTTATTTTTATTTTTATTTTTTAATATGAAAAATTGTGAATTTATCATATTATCCTCATTTAATTAATAATTTCAATTCTTAATGTTTGCATTAACCAAGGGCATTTTTTGGTATTTTGAATGTTTCGCCATTCTCTGCCTTTTGCTTTATATATATAGATTCACGACATAATTTACACTAGTATCGAGTCGAGCACTTCTTTAAAACATATATACAGAAAAATCCCATTTTATTTAATTGTTGTTTGTGCTTCAAATTGGCAGCCGTGAAACTGAATTTATTCAAAACATTGTCAACGAGATTTCCTTACAAGTATTAAATGATACCCATATCAATGTGGCAAAATACCAAGTCGGAATAGGGGCTCGTGTACGAGATCTTCATAAAGTTTTAGATGTTGACGGAAATGATGTTCGCATGGTAGGAATATGGGGGAATGGTGGAATAGGAAAGACAACTGTTGCTAAAGCTGTTTATAACTCACTGGCCCATGTGTTTGAAGGAAGTTGTTTCCTGGAAAATGTAAGAGAAAGATCAATACCATATGGAGGCCTAGTCGACCTACAAAATCTTCTTCTTTATGAGATTCTAAGGGGAAAGGAAATAAAGGTTACCAGTGCCGATAAAGGAATCAATGTGATAAAGGAAAGGTTGAGTCGTAAAAAGGTCCTTGTAATTGTAGATGATGTGGATCATTTGGACCAGTTAAACAACTTAGTTGGTGGTTGTGATTGGTTTGGTTTGGGCAGTAGAATTATCATAACGACAAGAGATAAGCATTTGCTAACTTCTCATCAAGTTAGTATAATATACAAGGCCAAGAAATTAAACTTTGGTGAATCTCTTGATCTCTTCATTAGTTGGAATGGTGGGAGAAATAAAAATTTGGATGATGATTATGTGAAAGCTGCAGAAACTGTGGTGAAGCATGCTCAAGGTCTTCCTTTAGCTCTCAAGGTTTTAGGTTCTCATCTATGTGGTAGAAGTATAGATGAGTGGAATGATGCATTGGATGGGAATCTGCACTCGGACATTAAAAAAACTCTCAAAATAAGCTATGATGCATTGGAATATTCGGTTCAAGAAGTTTTCCTTGACATAGCATGTTTCTTTAAAGGTAGAAAGGTGTACGATGTGATAACGATCCTGGAAGGTTGCGACCTCAAGCCTAAGTATGCTATTGAAGTACTCGTAGACAAGGCCCTCATAGATATTGAACAAGGCACAATTGGGATGCATGACTTGCTTGAAGAATTGGGTAGAGGAATAGTTTATCAAGAGTCGCCAAATGAGCCTGGTGAACGTAGCAGATTGTGGTTTCACGAGGATGTTTATCGTGTTCTAATAGAAGGAACAGTAAGTCTGTGTGTGTGTGTACACTTGCATTTTTATTTGCTATAGAGCTTTGTATGTTAACACTACTTTTTTATTTTATTTTAATAATAGGGAACAAACAATATTAAAGGCATCATAGCAAAGTTTCCGACACCAGATGACATATGCTTGAGTGATGACAGCTTCTCAAAGATGAAAAACCTTCGACTTTTCATCAATGTGAATGCACGATTTTATGGCGATCACGTGGATTATCTATCTAATGAGTTGAGGTTTCTTCATTGGCCTGGTTGTCCTTTACAAACTTTACCATCTACTTTCAATCCAAGGAAACTTGTTGAACTTTATATGCCTTGTAGCCGCTTGTCACAACTTGGGGAGGGATTCAAGGTAATTTAAAATATTTTCATCCCTTCGTATTTTCAAAAGTTTATTAAGTTTTTGGAGTTATGGCTTAAACTTGTTTATGCCTTGTCGTTTGATCCTTCTTTTTCTTTTCTATTTTTGTCTTATATAGCGTTTGCAAAATTTGACGTCCATGAATTTTAAGAGCTGTGAATTCCTAACAAAAACCCCAAATATCTCTGGAATTCCAAACTTACAGTCCTTGAATCTAGACGACTGCACAAGTTTAGTTGAGGTTCATCCTTCTGTTGGATTTCATGATAAGCTTGTGGACTTGAGGCTTGAGAGTTGCCATAACCTCACACTATTTCCAATAATCAAGTCAAAATCTCTAGAAGTTCTCAATCTTGAAGATTGCAGAAGACTGGAGACTTTCCCTGAAATTGGGGGAAAGATGGATTCCTTACGTCGCGTGTTTCTACGTGGTAGTGGCATCAAAGAATTGCCTGCGTCAATTGCATATCTCATCAGTCTTGAATTTTTAGACCTAAGCAGTTGTGAAAATCTTACGAATCTGCCACCCAGCATTTATAAGTTGGAACATCTAAACCAAATTTGTCTCCAAGGAAGTCGAAAGCTTGTTACATTTCCAAATAAAATGAAGTCCGAAGTTTTGGGGAGTGCAGTATCACATCCTTTAGCGCTTCCCAGTCTTGAGGAATTCATTTTGGAAGGAAGCAATTTATCAGAATTTAATTTCCTCTGGACTCTTGATTGTGTGTCTACATTGAGCATGCTTGATCTAACACGATGTGATTTCCTTGTAAGTATTCCCGTATGCATTACGAAATTTGTCAATTTGCAGGAGCTTTACTTGCATGGCTGCAAGAGGCTTCAAGATATTCCTGAACTTCCACCAAAAATAGTAAAGTTAGAGGCGAGTGATTGCGTATCATTGGAATGGTTTTCATCATTGTCCAACATTCTGAAAGGTAAAAAAGACTCACAAATGATTGAGTTGGTGGACTTGTGTAATTGCCACAGACTGTGCGGCAATCTGGCTCGTGACCTCACAAAGAAGCAAAACATTTTAGCAAAGGAGCAGATCACTCTCTTCTTTGATCACCTTCTATCTTCACAGAAACATGGATTTCAGGTTGTATTTCCAGCAAGTTTTGAAGCTCTCTCGACGTTGTTCAGCTGTCATAAGGATGTGAAGGAGCATGATGAAGCATGTGAACTTTTGATTGAAATCCCTCCAAACTTCAAATGCCAGAACCAAGGATTGGTTCTATATGCTGCTGTTGAAAACCCGCAAAATAAAAGACGACGTTACCATGGTTTTCTAACAAAAATTTCCGTCAATCAACCAGGAGTGGTACCTCATTTTATTCAGTTCGATTACCATTTCAGAAAGATAGGGTCAGGTCATGTGTGGCTGTGCTATATTCGATTCAGAGAAATGTTTTACCGGGATGATCAGATTACCTGGCCGCAGTCGCCTTTTGTGTGTCGAGTTAATTTTCAGAATTTGACACAAGATTCGCTGCATTTTAAAAGCGTCGGGGTCCACCTGGTAATGACACAGGATGATGAAGACCTGTCTATATTTACGGAAGATGGTGAGTCTGAATCCGATGACTTGGAAGATGCTAATGAGAGGTTTGATGGAGATAATTGTGTTGATCTATGTGAAGATGAGCAAGACTCCGAACATGACTACTTCAGCTGTGAAGATAATGAAGATGGCTACTTTTACTGAAGATGATGATGAAGAGGTGAATAGGTATTTCGGAGAAAGAGATTTGCAATGTTGGAATAAGACAAAAGAAAAACTAGGATGCAATGGAATACTATTGATGAATAGTGATATGCCAACTTCTAGTCGCCCACAATCTAGAGAAGAGAGTTCCGTGCGCCCACCCACGGGGAAGCTTTTCATTCACCCAACAAAACTCATACCCCACTTTCTAGTCTCTCTCTTCCCAACGAATATTCCTAAAACTAACGGCTGTCTGTCTGTGTGCGAGCCTATAACCAACGGCTGTCTGTAACACACTGATTTTTCATCCAATCCAAACCACATGAAGGGCGAGGCCCTCTTTCTCTTTCTCCCTCTTCTATATATAACTCAAGCATATTAGCCAGCTCTCCTCATCATCCTTGATCAAACTCAAGAGTCAAGACCAAGCCAGAATTTCAAGTTTTCAAGTATGTCTGCATTGGTGGATGTTTGGATGAGCGAGTTGGCAAAGCTAAAAGACAAGGTAGGGGCTAAGAGGCGACTGGTGTTTTCATCAAAGGGAAAACAAGGAGAAGGTGATGATGAGGTTGAAGAACAACAGCAAGTGTTGAAAGAAGCAAGAAAAGAGAGCAGCAGAATGGCTCAGATTCAGAGGGACTTGGATTCCTCTACGCTTTCAGAGGCCAGAATTCGTTTGCTTATGGACCGTTTTGTGCCTTGGTGACACCTTGTAAACATGTTTAACTTGTTGAAGGACCTTTGCTCGCTTCTCTGGCCATGAAAAATGAGTCATCATTTTTTTCAGTAATTATATAGAACTAGATTGTTTTGATTCAAAAATCATTAGTGATCCATTAGATTGCCTCCATGTAATTAAGTTTTAGTAGATACATAAACTTATTACTAGTGTATTTGTTTTTGGTTTTTCCATTTTAATTATATTTTTGCAAGCTATTAGTGGATGAATGGTTCTTACATTTGGGATTATTGTTTTTTCAAAAGTTTAAATTATTGCCTCCAAGTTTTCCCTTAAAAGGACAACTCTCTTTCGTCCACTTACATTCCTTTTTTTATTATAGTAAAAAGTATTAAAAAATAAAAAGAAGTGTAAGTCGACCAAGGAGTGAGCTCCATGTAATTAAGTTTTAGTAGATACATAAACTTATTACTAGTGTAGTTGTTTTTCGTTTTTCCATTTTAATTATATTTTGCAAGCTATTAGTGGATGAATGGTTATTACATTTGGGATTATTGTTTCTCCGAATGTTTAAATTATTGCCTCCAAGTTTTCCCTTAAAAGGACAACTCTCTTTTGTCCACGTACACTTCTTTTCTTTTTTTTATTATATTAAAAAGTACTAAAAAATAAAAAGAAGTGTAAGTCGACCAAGGAGTGAGAAAATCACTACCAAGAGTATTTTTGTGACAAAATGACTGTAAATTGTAATTTGTAATACCACTAGCTAGCTTTGCTGTGGTTTTGGAACTTCTTGTGGTAAAACACACGACGAATGTGGCTGTTTGTTTCCATATATCAAAAGCTGTGCGCTAGTACCTATGTGCATCTACTTTCTTATATAGACCCTGTACCAAGTTCCTATCTTCAAAAATATCCCAACCCAAGCTATAATTTCCACTTAATTTCGAATGAATACTCGTTTGATAATAATTTTAATTTTAATTTTTAGTTTTCATTTATTGTGCTATAGTATAGAGGAAAATAAGAGTGAAGATGAGATTGAGAGAGAGGATGAGAGGTGAGGATGAGAGGAATGAGTAACAAAAGTGAAAATAATTTGAAATAGATTTTAGTTTTCACTTTTGTTACTCTATCCCTCCCATAATTTCCTCGCATCTTCCCTCTCAATCTCATCTCCACTAGCGGAACAAGGTAGAGGGCTACCATAGGCTCTAGCCCAAGTAACCTTTTTTTAAATTAAAAATATTACATATATTTTAATGTTATTCATCCCATAAAAACTTAGTAACCCACCTAAATGTAGCCTTTGTAACCCATTGTCCACTCAATTTTGTAGGCCTATAATCATTTTATATTTAATTTATCTACTCAATTAAGAAACATAATCTCTTAATAAACACTTATGATTTTAATTCTCTGCCTTTTACTATTTTAACCCATATATACTTTTAAACTAAAAAAACTATAGAAGAAACAGTAAAGTACTGCAAATCCCAAGAGCGTAGACAGAGAGAAAACAAAAAAAAAAAGACACCTCTTCAACTAAAAATAGGAAAAGGTCTTGGTCATGCAACGATTGACTATAGCATCATCAAACAACAAGTCTGATTAAATCCTCCAACTTATTTTAGCGATTAATTAAAAAGTTACTATCTAGTAACAGCTTGTTTGATCTTGTAATATATATTTGGTGGCAACCCAATTGAAACCACCCACCCCAAAACTCATTGACCATATAAAGACTTCATTTTGATACTCAACAAGTTTGATCTGCTCAAAGAAAAGATCCAACGAAGTCCCTCTCACTCTATGTGAATGGGTTCGTGATATTATTTTTGAGAATTGCATTCATTATTCTTAATCAACAAAATATCGCTTTAATTACAATCTTGTTTTTTTTAATTTGGTTATGTGTCTCATTACCTGTAAGCCCCAATTGTTAGATGATATATATTTTTAGGACCTTTTTTTTATAGAGAATGACGATAATATATTAAACTCACATACACTATTAGGATACTTTTCTATTTAATAGTTAGCATGACACACATTATGAATTAACTGACTCGCCAATAACAAAATTTAGTCTTCTAACAATTATGGAGGTTATTTTTGACAATCCTGATCTATTTTAGTCATCTTCATCATCAATCGACCTTTTGTCTTCTTCTTTTTTTCCCACAACCCCCACTACTTGGTAAACAACCATGTTGCAACGAAAGTGTATTGATGCTTCTTTTTTCTTCTTCTTTTTGTGGTTTGTCGGTGTTTCCCTTTCACAATTTTCTTATGAGTTTTTCTATTTAAACCCCACACTTTTCTTGGTTCACCCCAATACCTAAATCATTAAGCTCTTAAGTTTTATTATTGTGTAAAAAGACAAAAAAGTCATCCAACTTAATACTTAACCCTAATACATCTATACATACACCCCACACTCCCACTCTTCATATTTGATTATGGTAACTTATATGAGAGCAATTTTCCTGTGCCTTCTTGTTTCGATTGAATAATAAACCAAATATTGATCAAAAGAAACTTTTTTATTTTTATGGACTCTTCATCTTCTTCCTCTGGCTTTCTAATCCCCCAATGAGAAAAACCCAAAGATAATTAGAATTTGGGAGAATAGGAAGAATAGAAACAGACCTAATTGCCAAAGAAATAATTGGCCATGATTTTAATGTGAATGAAGTTGAAAGACCCAAACAAGAGTTCAACAACCATCAACAAATGATTTACTACTGCTCCTCAACTTCCCAATGGTGGCAGCGGCTGCTTTCGGATGGATAGAGGAAGAAGATGAATAGGCAAGTTTTTAATTTTCATTTTTAATATATATTTTTTTGTTACAATATTGAACTCAACTTATATATCAATTTAACTGTGTTTTTATAATAATGTGAGATTGAGGTGAACTTAGAATGGTAAAGGGCAAGATAACAGGGTGTGGGGTGTGAAGTTGATGAGTTTTTTTTTTAATTTTTTTTTTATTTTTATGCTAGGTGTCTATTTAGGGGTAGTTTAGGAAGATAGTGGGGTTTTCTTAGAAATTGTGAAAATTTGAATTAAAAGTTGGGGTGAACTTAGAATATGGGGTGAAGAAAGAGAAGTACGGGGTTTTAATAGAAAAACTCTTTTCTTATTCCCTTTGACTTCACATCCACTATGAAGATGACAGGAAACTACTTCGCATCTGTGATGTATATTGATGCTTATTATGAGTGAAATTATGGTTTTTTTGTTATAAATAGTTAGCCTCATTAATTTTACAATAAATAAGGAAAGATTTTTGGGAGCTTTAGTTTTAAACCATAATATAGTTTACTAATTTAGTAGAAAGAAATACAATTTAGTCTAATTAGCAAAAGGCCAAACACCAAAATGTAACAAAAATACCATTACAAAATATGAAAATTACAACATATGCCATTTTCAGCATTTAGTTTTAAACTAAAGCTGAAAAACGACATCAAACCAAAATTGAACCAAAACGACATCAACCGAAATCGAAATTAATTGAATCATAACCCATTCGCGCGACCTTTCAACTTCACCTCCAGAAACCTCTAGACCACCAACGATCATCGAAGACCACCAACGATCGAAGCCGATTCTTCATCTCAGTTTCTGCGGTTTTCTGCATTGCAGTTTCGTTTTCGTTTTCGTGA